TTTGCTGTGTTTTCTTACCTTCATACCAAGACAACTTGTTATGATAGTAAAAAACACTCTTTTCTTTTGCTTTTTGGCAATCTTCTTCAGATCCGAAATAGGCAAAGGCTATGCTTCTTTTGTTGCCATTACTATTGTTAAGTATAAAAATTGCTTTAACTTCTAGTGGTCTTAGTTGTTTTAACAATATTGATTCTAGTGCTGATTTTGGAATATCGCTTAGTGCTGCTTTATGTTTTCTTCTTTCTTTTAACACTTCTGAGTTGAATCTTCTTAGTATAATTCTGCATATTGTTCCTTTTTTAAAATGTACTAACCAACTTGTCACAAGTGGGTCCAACCTCTTCTGATTCTATCCAGTAATCTGAACTACTGCTGCTTTGGTTTTCTTAAGTATTTTCAATTCAAGAATTCTTGCTTTTTCATACAAGGCTTAAACATCTTGTAACTCTTCCATATCTTGTGTCTTTTGGTAAGTTCTATAATGTTAGTGTTACTAATAAACTCTTTTTTTGTTTGACTTGTTTTTTTTGTTCTTGCTTCTGTTTTAATACTTCATTCTGAATGAAACTTTTTGACTTGCTTCTATTCATCTATATAGAATCATTTATATTTTTTGGTACCCATCTTAATGCATAGATATCTTCTTGGAGTTTACTTTTTGTTCCTTTTTCTTCTTTCTTTATTGATGCCTCTTTTTTTAGATTACTTTTGTATTTTAAAAGCATAAGTCTCTTTGACTCTTCTGTTCCTGGGTCATGTATACTGCATTCTGTCATTAGCAATGCTATTTTATCTTTTATTTTTGCCTCTTCATCTGAATTCTCGAGAATTTCTTTTTCTGTTTCATTTAATAGCACTTTTGCTTGCTTATTAGTTCTATTGTCTTTTTTTTTGTTGATCTTTTCTAATTTATCATCTGGATGCCTTTGTTTAAGACTACTCTCTTGAATTACTAGTTGTATTACAGGTGCTTCTAGCTTCATTAACTCTCTACTTTGATAGTCTTCATGCTCTACTATTTTGTTGTTTACCTTTTTTCTTTTTTTTTGGTCTTTGCCTTTAGTATTTTTTTTTGCCACTGTATCTTTTTTTTTCGTAAAAGTCTTTTAACTTACTAGTTGTATTGTTAGTGGCTCTAGCTCCATTTTTGTTATCATAGTTTGTGCTTCCTCTTTACTGTCATACATTACATCTTGCATGATATTTTCATGCATTTCTTCTTTTTGATTTGCTAGAAATCTTTCTTCCATTGTTATAGTCTTTTTCTTATAAAGATTTTTCTGCACTTCTCTGTGCTTGTCTACTAAGACTCTTATAATATACTTAAACTGGGTCGCTTGCCTCTAAATTTTGTGTTATATCTATATCTATTTGTGCTATACAAGCTTTTAATTTTTTCAAATATGTATACTTTTTTTTTGTTAATATTTTTTGATTTAAGTTGTAAAGCTCTTTGATTTTTGTTATCAATATTTTAATTCTAGTTGTTTGTCTAACTTCCTATACTATTCTATTTTTAGAAGTTTCTATTTATTTGACTAATACCTATTCTTATTGCTTGTGCTTTATTTAGTCAATCATGCTTTGTGCTTATTGCCTAATTAAACACGTGCTATTTTGTTTGCTTGTTTGTTTACTAAATTTACGTGTTTGTTTACTTTGTGCTTTGTTTATGTGTCGATTAATCAGAATTACAAGATTACAGCTAGGGTTGTAAAAAATATTATATGGTATAATAACATTGGTTAATATACCATATAATAACCATTATTATACTATCAATTTTTGGTATAATTGGTATAATATTAATATAATATAAATTAATCAATAAAATTTAATTATATTAATAATACTAACTGCTAATAATGATCTCTTATAGAAGCTAATATGTGGTATAGAATTTTAGTATCCAAATTATTATTTTTGCACATATAATTATATATGCTTCTTTACCAATAATTTTTTGTATAGCTTTTTTTTTTGCTAAAGTAGAAATTATATAATGATTTGGTACTGTAACTGTAGCATAACTGTTTTTAGGAATTGCTTTCAATTAAATTAAATTTAGTATTTTTATTTGGAGTTTAATTTTACAAATCATTCTTACGAATAATGCTATAAGCTGCTAACCAAAAAAGACAAGCGATTAAAATTTGTAGTCACATATATAAATAAAACTAATAATACTAAAAAAGTATAAACTTTTAAGGAGTGCTATGTGAAATGCATAAAAATCAAAAAGTAATTCAAAAAAAGCTTTGAATTCATATAAAAATCAAAAAAAAATTAATTCAGTAATAAAATAGGAAAAGAAAATAAAAAATTATTCTTGTTACCAAACTAAAAGTCTCAAATTACTATGAATTTCCTGTTTTTACTTATATAAATTAAAATTTTTAAATGTTTTTTGTAAAGATATAAAGGAAATAAAAATTTCAATTAAAAAAAATATTGCTCCCAATTTTGAATTAATAACTCAAAAAAAAAGTTTTTTTTCAATTTATTTTAAATATTCAAAAATTTATCAATCATATATTTGATAATAGGAAAACCAAAATGTGCTGTATGGAAACATTGGATTACTCTTGAATCGAATTAATCAGAAACTAATAAATCAAATTAGTTAGCAACTAGGAGTTTGATCAAGAAGGAATTTATGAATCAACCTGATTAGAATTAAATGAATTAAACCAAGAAACCAATAAATCAAATCAACAGGAATCTAATGATGGTAAAAAACTACACCCTCCTGTAAAATGCATGTATTGTCCAAAGACTTATGATTGTGGAATTGCAACTCGAAAGCAAGCATATTTGGATAATGATTGTTAGGGTGCACCTAATAATGCAAAAACAAAAAAAAAAAATTCATTGCAAAATTTTGAAAATTTAATTTCTAGCAACAATAATTCAATAACATTTGATCTTAAGAAACCTAATAGTTTTTCTCAAAAGCACACAAGAACTACATTCATTAATGATTTTGCTAATAATATGAGTAAAAAAGAACAAGAAGATCTCAAATTTGCATTAGCCCAAGCATTATTTGCTACAGGTGTATCATTTTCTTTTTTAGAAAATCTATATGTTATTGAATTTTTTCAAAAAATTCATCCTGCTTTTAAATTACCAAGTCGATCAAAATTAGCAAATGAATTATTAGATAAAGTTTACAAAAAAAAAAAAGAATCTGATAATAAAATTGCGAATGCACAAAGCTTGTGTATGATTTCAAATGGTTGGTCGAATATTAACCAAGAATCAGTACAAAATCTTATAATTTGTACTCCTGAGCCAATTTTTTTTGATGCAACATATTCAGGAGAAGAATCTTATACAGCTTTGTAGGTTTCAAATGAAATAATTCAACAAATAGAAATTGTTGGGTCTGATAAATTTTCAGCAGTCATTACTGATATAGCAAGTGTAATAAAAGCAGCATGAAGAATTATTGAAGAAAAGTATTCTAAAATAGTATGTCTTGGTTGCACTTCGCATATAGTAAATCTTTTAATTAATAATATTTTAAAAATAGATAAAACTAAAGTAACAGTCGATAATGCAAAAAATTTAGTAAAATATTTTAAATCACATTTACAATCAATGGCAAAACTTAAACGTATTCAACAAGAAAATTATTCTAAAGAGATTTCACTAGTTTTACCTGCAATTACATGATGAGGCACCTATTTTGAATGTTTATAGTCAATTAAAAAATCAAAAATCACTTTAGAGCAAGCATTAATGGATATAATAATTCGAGAAAATATAAATTCAGATTTAAGAAATTATATATTATCTAATGAATTCTGGAAAAATTTAAATTTATTAAGTACTATTTTAGAACCAATAGTAGTTACATTAAAACAGCTTGAATCAGATAATTCGACTCTTTCGTCTATCTATTTTTATTTCAAAAAAGTGATAAAAGAGATTTGTAAAATTTTATGTTGTTTTTCTGATGAACTTAATAAACTTGTTGAAGAATGATAGGAATATACTTATCATTCAATTCGAATAGTGGCCTATATGTTAGATTCACAGTTTTTAGAAACAAATAATCTATTAGAAGAAGCTATGAGATATTCTGAATTTACAACATTTACTAAAGAAAAATTTGATCAAGACAAATCTGTAAACTTGTTTATTGGGTTAGTTAAATTTCACAAAAAAACTTCACCATATAATAATGAAGTTATTTGGAATTCAGCAACATCATTTACTCCATCATTATAGTAGCAATTATAGCCATATAGTAATCTTCAACAAATAGCTATCAAAATTCTTTCTATTTCTACATCTTCAGCAGCTGCAGAACGAAACTTTTCTACATTCAGCTTTATTCATAATAAAGTTCGTAACAGGTTGCTTAATGATTGTGTTAACAAGTTGGTCTATTTGTATGAAAACCTTCAAATGCAAAAAAAAAATATAAAGCATAAAATTAATATATCTAGTAGTAAGTATGATACTAGAACTAATCAAGAAACTAATTGTAATAACAGTGATAATGATGAATTATTCGATAATGGATTTGAAATGAATGTAATAGATTTGACAGCCAATAAAATGTAAAATCTAATAATATTATACAAATAAATTTTGATTTTTAATCACATGTTATTATGAGTTATTATACCGTTATTATACTGTTATTATATCATATAATAACTGGTTATTATACTAAAAATATATTATATCATATAATTATATCCCTAGTTACAGCCAAGTTTACAATTTTCCAAAAATTTTTCAAAAATTTTCGAACAAGTTTTTTATTCTTTGATTGAACAGCTTCTCTCAAAAATTGTTTTATTAAACTTTAGCTATTTTTGTGTTTCTTTTCTTTTTTTTTAATGATACAAAACTAGTTTATTTAGTTAACTTTGAGGCAAACTAAAGTGTATTGATTTATGACCTTACAAAATTAAAAATTAGCAGAAAAAGTGATAAATAAATAATTTTATTACTTTGATAAAAATTATTTTAAATATATACAAAATTTATTCCTAATAAATATTAAATTATTCTTAATAGATACAGAATTATTATTTATAAAAAATTACTGCTAAATTATTATTCTTAATAGATACAAAATTATTATTTATAAAGAATTACTACTAAATTATTATTTATAGGGGGTGTAGTGACCTAGTGAAGTGGATAGGTTGTCAACCTCCAAGTGGCAGGTCTAGAGTTCAAATCCCAGTGATGGCGAAAATT